ACATGTAGGCATTTGTGAGTCTGCACTGGTTTTATATTGCATTAAGATTAATAATGAATATTTTGATATGATCATGCCCTGAGTCAAGTTAGTTAAATGCTTTGTATACAGACAGCAAGCAGATCCTGTACAAAGCTCTGTAAATAAAAAAGATATATATGTCTTTGTGTACTTCAATTTAATGCTACTTAATGCCCAGTACATTTCAGGGCAAATATTACTATTTATTACATCTACACTACCGGTCAAAAGTTTTAGAACACCCCAATTTTTCCAGTTTTTTATTGAAAATTATGCAGTTTAATGTCTCATTGTACTCTGAAATGAAAGCATAGAACAAATAAACATTTGAGGTCAAAAAAGAAATCATGGAATCAATTTATAAACCAAAATGTATTCTAAACTTTTGACTCATCAAAGTAGCCAACTTTGGCAGATATAACAGCTGAACACACTCGTGGCATTCTTTCTACAATGGAAATCAAATATTCTGCAGAAAGTTCTTCCCAACTCTGTTGTAGAAGTTCCCATAAATGTGTGGCACTTGTAGGTTGCTTTGCTTTCACTCTTCTGTCCAGTTCATCCCAAACCAGCTCGATGGGGTTTAAGTCTGGAGACTGTGCTGGCCACTCCATGTTTTCAAGCTTACCATCTTGTTCTTTTTTCCTGAGGTAGTTCTGGCATAGCTTGGACGTATGTTTTGGGTCATTATCTTGCTGTAGGATGAACCCCTGACCAACTAGGCGCATACCAGAGGGTACTGCATGGCGCTGCAGAATGCTGTGGTAGCCGTTTTGGTTCAGGGTGCCTCTCACTCTGTACAAGTCACCGACCCTAGATCCAGAAAAACAGCCCCAGACCATCACGCTTCCGCCTCCATGTTTGACAGTTGATGTCACACACTGAGGAACCATCCTTTCGCCTACTCGACGGTGTACAAAAATCCTGTGTGATGAACCGAAGATTTCAAACTTTGATTCATCGGTCCATTAACACCTTCCAGTCTTCAGTAGTCCATTGGTGGTGTTTCATGGCCCAGGCAAGCCTCTTCTTCTTATTCTGATGTCTTAGCAATGGCTTTCTTGCTGCAACTTGACCGTTCAAACCTGCAACTCGAAGTCTTCTCTTCACAGTTGAAACTGAGACGTGCTTACTACGACCACTATTAAGCTGTGCTTGAAGCTGTTGTCCTGTGAGCCGCCTATCACGCAAGCTGTTGAAACTTGTCTTCTGATTCTGTTGTGGCTTTGGGTCTGCCAGACCTCTTCCTGTCAGAGTTTCTCCCAGTTTCTGAGTGCCTTTTGATGGTGAAGGAAACTGTACTCACTGACACCTTGACTTTCTTCGCAATTTCTCTGTAGGAAAGCCCTACATTTTTAAGTGTTATGATGGTCTGTCTCTCTTCCATTGTTAATTGCCTTTTTCTTGCCATTTTTATGGTAACACACTACTTTCTGCAGTACAATACTGTTCAAATGATGCTCACAAGGGTATGGTACCACAGTGTGTTCCAACACTGCTTTTATGCAGACAGAGGGGGTTGTAAGTAATCAAGAAAAGTTGGTACACCTGTAGGAATTGGTTGCACCAACTTTCAAGGCTTGATCAACCTCCATTGCTGCAGAATGGCTTTAAGTTGTTAATCCATTTCTTGTTCCCTGAAAAAGGCCTTTTTGTATAATTCTGAAATGTATATTATTTTTCAGTTTTGGGTAACCTTACCCTTTTTTTTAACCTCTAGCAGTTCACTACTTACCTTTGTACCATTTCAAGCTATTCATTGGACTTGAACGGCTTGAATTTCAATAAAAAACTGGAAAAATTGGGGTGTTCTAAAACTTTTGACCGGTAGTGTACTTGACAGCTGTAACATTGGTTATTGGTCGCAGGCTAAGATTTTGTAAACAAAACGTTGTATTCATCCTAACAAATAAAAGATAAAGTAATATAGATAAAAAATATCCAACTGTATATAAAGCAGCACTAGTTAATATTAATTAAATAATGTGAAATATAATAATATAGACTGACAAGGGACATTCTAAAGTGCATTTTGGCTGTACTTTTACTTACTTTGCTTTGTTTCTGGATACTTCTACAGTGTGGTATTGCTACTTTCACTCAAATAAAGCATGTGAATACTTCTTCCAACCACTGTCAACGTCACACAGACACTGTAGGCCTATACTGTATAAGGTCCAGCGCAGGCTGTAGTTAAGCAGTGGAAACTTTCCCCGAGGAATGGTTTTACCAGCTGTGAGGCTCTAAGGGAAGGAAGGCTTTATTGTACAGTACTTTCAAATAAGGGGTTGCAGCTTGTAGCTTTATACTTAAATAATATAGGTTTATAATAGCAGGAAATCACACATGGGGTGCATTGATGATTTAGGGGAGACGTACAGCTCCTGATGCTGGAAAATGGCAGCTATAGACAGCTTTAATTACTGTCCTGCTGACAAAGATGACAGGAAAGTTCAGCCACGCTCAAACCAAAAAAGTGGTTGCCTACAAAGTAGTGAGGGTGGTCCTGCAAAAGTGAAAACCCTCCACCCATGCTCCTCTTCAGTAGTCTATGAATACACATAGACATAGACTCACTCTGACCACATATTATGGGTTTCTACTTGCTGATGGTTTCACATTTGGCTCAAAGTTTATGTAAATGCAGATGCGAGCCCCACATCACTGTAGTTTGCTGAAAAACCCAAGGTTTTTCCAACCATGTTCCCGGTCTGTTAATCCAGCTGCCTTTACGTGGACCCACTCTGTGATTGGTCCCAGATTTGCTGTGGGTCCAGAGTAACTATTTGGCTTTCTCCCTGAGATTTTCCCATTGCTGCTGGCACTGTGCGACCTGCAGGAAACGACTGAGAATTGTGACTGTAACAATGCTTATGGACAAATGCCAGACCACAGCTGTTTATTCAACCACACAAAACATTCCTCTGGGTTAATAACCACAGACACTGGAAGAGATCTACTATTTAATGATTTGGTCTGTGACACAGTACAATATGTGCTTAGTTTGGGGAAAATTGCAAGCAGCAAAATGTGTGGAACTGTATAAAGAAAAGCAATAAGATTCTTAGTGTTTGAGTCATATTCACATAGTGCACGGTGCTCATGACTCAATTATTCTTGGTGCAATTTCTGGATTTTTGTTTGGAAATAAAGTTTATTGTTTCAGCCACATTTTGGTCATTTTATGTTTAGTTTCAGTCAGGGAAGTCTAAAAATCTCTGCAGTGTTGATTCCGCTTCATCACATCTCTTTCAAAGAGTCATCATCTGTCTTTCTGCCTCCCAGACTCTCTGAGTCCCTCTCCTTACTGCCAGCCCTGCCCATCCTTCCTGGATATGAGGTCACGACAGAAGGACCAGAACAAAGGATGGACTGCAGTCATCTTAACTTAAACTCTTGCTGCATATTGTATGCTCGCCCTTTCTCTTTTTTTGTCCATGTCAAGCAGGAACGCAGCAGAGAAATTCAGCTATTACTGTTCAGACTATAGGCTTTTGTTACTGTTAGCGCTATTTAAAATGTGTAAAGTAAATCTGCAGGACAGGGCTTTTGTTGCATTGTTGAAATTTGTCCAAACTTTGTACATAATATATTACTGTGCATTTAATTTAGTTACTAGAGAGTATGGAGTTAGTTTTTCAAGTCTTTAATCTAATTCTTATTTAATTGTAATTGTTTTCTTTATTTGCGTGCTTTCTTTCCTTCTTTTAATTACCAGAACACATTTTCTGAATTTTGTCTTGCATACCAAGTAAATTATATTATATATATATATTCATCTATTCCATCCATTAATGTAAGAAAGCTAACATTACTTATATTTTATATGAATCAAACATCCAAGTGAGCTAGTATATTTTAAGATAGCTCGTCTGTTTGAATTATTTTTAGCAGTTAGGGACTGTTCGTTATATATGAGGTGGGAGGGGTGGTGCAAAAAAAAGGGGAGACGTCAAATAATGTTTTAAGCACCGGGGAGGAACTTGTGTTTTCTATTTAGGCTTCGGGGAGGGGTATACACATTTAAATGGTCTTATTTTGTATTTATTTTATAACAGAATTTTAAAGAAAACATGTGGGCGGGTTTAGAAGATATGTTTTCTTTAAAGAATTGCCAAAATGACACCATTTCTCACCATGTATCTCCTGCCATTGTTATTGAGAGGGCTGTGTGACATCAGAGAGCGTAACTGGGAGTACATCAATCTGGTACGAGTTCACGGGTGGTAAGTTATGGGTTTGACTGCCGTTCCAGTGCACTTTCACGCGTAGAAGGTTGTAAAAACACGGGTTACGGGTTGCCTGGAACACACCATAATTTATGGTGGAGGGAGGGTCCTGCATTTTCTGTAAGTCACTGAGGGAGGCTCAGGGGAAAATATAAGTAGCTTTGGGGAGTGTAAAAAAACAAACAAAAAAAAACAACTAAGTGGCACTTGGCCACCCCCTCCTCTGACAACTAACAGTTAAAGAGCATTCCCTTAGCTAATAGCTAACTAGCTAACTTAGCTAACCCTCGGCTAGCACGCTAACATTAGCTAAATTACATTATTCTCACTCACACTCAAAAGCCTTTTAAGCAAAGGAACAAAATTCACTTTTATGAGCCAATTTCTGACTCATATATGTCAAGACAAATGACAAACTTGAGGAGATACAGTTAGCTTAATGCCTGAACAGATATGAAATGCTAACTAGGCTTATTGTTTGTCATTTCCACACAACATAGTGGAAAGGGAATTTAGTTAATATAGAAACTATACTTTTAGGACTCTATAACATATTCCTGAGGGACTTTTAACATGTCTGGGATATTATTACCGCAACATTATGAGTTTCCACATACCTCCTGCTTCATGAATTGAACTGACCCTTCAGCCGTCCCTGCTGCTCCCTGCCCGGGCTGAGGGAGGGGGGAGAGGGGGGAGTGACTTCCAGCCAACCGTCGACATCTCCGGAGTCTAGAGATCAGTAAAAGATGAGAAGCTGCTCTCCTCCGCTGAGCCGAGGGACACGGGACTAAAGTTCAACATTTAACCGAGAAAACACGGAGAGTCGACTACTCAGCAATGAAATGTATGTCTCTCAGTGTGCGGTGCACTTTCAACTAAACTCTGGCTGCGAGCATCCCACGGTAAGTTGTGTTAAAACTGTCATCTGGGGGGAAAGTAAACTGCTCGACTCGGCACAAATCAGCTAATTACATCGAATTTACTGTAAAGTGGAATTAATAATGTCTATTGCATGTGATTGCGACAAAAGATAAATTTAAGTTAATGTATAAAAATCCGAGAAAATGGTTAATTTAAACTTTTAAATGTGTTTCTGGTAGTTTGGGCAATGGTCCAAGGTTCCTTTGTAAACAAACAAACAGCATGTTGTGTGTTTGAAGGTGTAGACTGCATGTTTTAACGGGTATTTCAAGTCTCAAAAACCTCTTTTTTTCCATAGGAATGAAGAAAACTAGATTATTCAGTTAAAATCCATCATATAAAGCCATCAACTTCTGCATTTGATAAATACAATATGTTGAGATATAATTTGGCCACTTCCTGGAATAACACTTAAATTCATCACATCTTCCACTGCAGTTAAACACGGTGGATCTGCTGACACTGGACTCCTTGCTCACTCCTGACATCCAGTGTCAGCAGCTGGTGCTTTGAAGATGATCAACCCTCAGATATACCTGCACTATAACTACACAGGAAAGCTGGACCACCGGCCCAGCGTTGGTGCAAGCCCTGGCACCGTGGACACCAAGACCATCATGTTCCTCATCATATGCAGCTTCATTGTCCTGGAGAACCTCACCGTGCTGGTGGCCATATGGAGAAACCACAGGTTCCACAACCGCATGTACTTCTTCATTGGCAACCTGGCTCTGTGTGACATGCTGGCTGGAGTGGCCTACCTGGTCAACCTGCTCCTGTCAGGAGAGAAGACCCTGCAGCTCTCGACTGCTCTCTGGTTTGTCAGAGAGGGAAGCATGTTTGTAGCACTTGGTGCGTCCATTTTCAGTCTCCTGGCTATTGCTATAGAGCGACACCTGACTATGATCAAAATGAGGCCTTATGATGCCAACAAGAACTACAGAGTGTTTCTGCTCATAGGGACCTGCTGGCTGATCGCCATATGTCTTGGAGCTTTGCCTATCCTGGGCTGGAACTGCCTGGACAACCTCCCTGATTGCTCCATAGTCCTCTCTCTCTATTCCAAGAAGTATGTAGCTTTCTGTATCACAGTTTTCATGGTTTTACTCTTAGCCATGTCAGTCCTTTACGCCCGCATCTACATCCTGGTGAAGTCCAGCAGCCGAAAGGTGAGCAAGCACAGAAACTCAGAGCACGCGATGTCCCTTCTGCGCACTGTCATCATTGTAGTCGGGGTCTTCATCGCGTGCTGGACACCCATCTTCGTCCTGCTCCTGGTGGATGTGGCATGTCAGCAGCGTTGTCCCATCCTTTACAAGGCTGACTGGTTCATTGGACTAGCTGTGCTCAACTCAGCCATGAACCCAATCATTTACACCCTGGCCAGCCGCGAGATGAGACGGGCCTTCCTGGGTCTGGTGTGTGCTGTTTGTTACAAGGGGAAGGCCTCTGTGACCGGCAGCGCTAACAGGCAGTCTCTGGAGCCCAGCCGCAGCAGGAGCAAGTCGTGGAGCAGCCAGAACAACCCCAACCAGAACCATCAGAGCTCCAGGCAGACGGAGCTGGAGAAGGGGCAGGGGACCGGCACGGGCCATGGCGAGGTCTCAGTGGTGGCAGGAGGGGCTGCTCAGGCCGTCATTGAGAGTGACAGGAAAGACTAAATGATTGGAGCAAGATATCTACAGGAGGGAGGTGAGCACTGGTGGACTCAGGAGACCACCTATTTTGGTGCCCCCATGCTTGAACAAACACTGCAGAAGTGTCCTTTCAGATGCCTCTATGGAGGATAAAACATGAGTGCCCTCTAGGGTGACCCTCCAGTGGAGAAAACGCAATAAAGTGCCCTCCAAGGTGGCCTTAAAATTAAGAAAAAATGATGCAGTGCCACACAGGCTGCGCTGGTGCCCTTTTTATTCTCATTTTACCCCTGCCCTTAAGACAGCCTGAGTCCACCACTGAAGGTGAGGGTGATGCTATTGTTTAAGCTCACGGGTTTGTGCAGTGGCCAGAATTGGTGACGAAAAGGAATTTGAGTTGTGACTGAATCAGAGTGAAGGATATCTTAGACTGCAGGGCAGTGGTTTCTCCTTTGTGCTTGATATTGATATATATATGCATCATCCATACTTGGGAAGCGCATTAAAATGGCCACTCTTGGCATTAGACTGACTAATTTATGAGGCCAATTTGTTCAACAAGACAATCAATATCACCTCTTTGTGAAGTACAGGTCATATTTCAGCAGAGGCCAGTGAGAAACACGTATCTCCAGATTTGGTCATTTTATGGTTAAATCGTTTTTAAGAACATTAATCATCTAAAAAACCATTGGATCATCTGAAAAATATGCATCGTCACAAAGCTGGAAAAAGGCAGTTTTTCTTAGCTCATGCAAAGTGGATGTTTCAGAGTACGTGGTTTTCACAGGTCAGTGACAGTTTGCAAATGAATGGTGCTCTAACCCTCTAAAGAAAAAACATTTACCTCCGTGGTTACAGATGTGACCGTCCAAGACAAACAAGACGTGAAAACTCACATGCGATGAATTAAAGTGCAATTAATTTACTGCAAAATGATGTAATGAAGAATGATTGTAGACAATTATTAGTGTAATGACCAACAATTATTTATTATTCAGTGTAGTCTGTTCTGTAATTTTGTATTTACTCAGCATTACTACAGTATACTGTGCAGTTACTGTAATGAAAACTGCATTATAAGTCGTGTATGTATATAAATGAGATAATAGCACATGCTGAACCAGCTATTCTTTTCATTATATAAGAAGCCTCATGTTCAAACTGCATCCATTATCTGTTGTGAATTAATGTAGCTCATGCAGTGCATTCAACATCATTAGTTTTAGATAATACCAGGGCTCCACCTGCTGGTTAACAGTGGTAGTACATGCAAAACATGCTGCATGTACAGTGCAGAATCTTTTCACTGTATGTTTGTTTAATATAATTATTCCAGAAGTAGAAAAGCTTGTATCAACTTAAAAAGCATGAAGCTGGTAAACTGAAGGAAGAGGCATGTGAATGCAGCATGTGAAATAGAAATAGTTTACGACGTGCAGCTATTTAAATGATGCAAAATATTAGCTTTGACACAATAAAAGGTAAAAAACGTGTAAACTGAATAAGGATGATTCACCTGATCACGTCATGTTGCAGTGTCTCCCTCATTCCTTTGGGAAAATTACTTAAAGGGACAGTGTGTGAGATTTAGGGGGATTTAGAGGCATGTAGCAGAGAGGATTGCAGATTGCAACCAGCTAAAACGTCTCCCGGTTAGAATTCCTTTCGTGTTGATTGTTTAGGAGGTTGTTAGCAGAAGCCAAATTATCCACAGAGGTCTCCTCTTCAAATCGGTGTTTCTCCAACTCTGTTCAGCTCTTTGAAGACAGGCCTTAATTTTTTACTGATTTTAACCAGTAAAACTGAAAAGCAGTTTCACTAAAAAAAAAAACAACATGGCGGTGCAACATGGCGAACTCTGTAGACGGTAACCTACTCCATATGATGATACAAACAGCTCATTCTAGGGTATACAAATACATGCCAATTCTTATTTTCATGTGATTATACACTAAAGAAAGCATACTTATTAAATTATATTTGATTTCTGCCAATATATCCTCCTAAATCCTACACACTGAAGCTTTAAAAGTTGACTCGCTTAAATTACAAATACATATATATTATTTTCTCACGTTTGTTGTGGTATCAAGCCTTGCAGGTAGTTTTGATTTTGTATGTCCAGGTCCATCCACTTTGGAGATCTCTGCAGCTACCACAATACAATAGAGGTGAATTAATTTTTGAACGTGTTGCTTACAGCTTTGAACAATAACTTTAAAAATATTCACCTGCAACATCTTTTTCCTGACACAGCATACCTGTTACTCCGAAGATCTCACTGTGAATAGTTCTCATTAGAAGTCTGTTCTGTCCAGGATAATCCAGAATAACAAGAACAGTGTTTATTGATGTATTTTTAAAATCTAGTTTTCAATGCCTTCAGTATGAGTAATTAAATTCCATTCACCTCTATTGTATGGGGATGAAGGCAAAAGTCCCAGAAACAAGTATCTCAAAATCTGAGCTGAAATAAACCAAACCTATCTGCATGACAAAATGTAATTAGAATGCTTAATGCTGCATCTACCATAAACTGAATGTTATTACAGCATACAAGAGAGATTCTACACATTCACGGTTTTATTGCCAACAGTCATACAGAATAATGATAAACCCATACAACCAAAAGATTAAATCTGTAAACATCATTTGGACTTCTTTGTTTTTATTTCCTTTTTTTTTCAACTATACCTGTTCCAAAATAGTGAGTTTCTGTGTGATTCCCTCCGACAAAGATTTTTATTTAGAATCTGGAAATGATACATTTAGAATATATAATAGAGAGGGAGGGAGGGAGGGAGAGAAAGGAGACAGATAGAGAGAGGAAACAGTAGTCTCAAGCAGCAACACGCAGCAGGGCAAAACACAACCTCTAGTGAACAGGCATGCCCCATTGAAGATCAGCTATTGCACTTTGAAGAGAGAGAGAAAGAGAAATAAAAATACCATTTGTACAAATAAAAGGCACATTTTCATCAACAGAAATCTGGAAAGAAGCCATGTTCTTTTTGTGTTCCACTGTGTTTGGTTGTAGAATTTCTTTACGCCTCACAGCTAATCATGTTATCAGAGAGATTCAAGTATGGAGTTGTTTCTGCAATATATATATATATATATATATATATATATATATATATATGCTGTCCTTAACTTTTCTCATTTTGCCAAGGTAATTCGATACCAAATTGTAACCCATTCTTTTAAGGGGTGTGCATAAGAGCGACATCACACCTGTCATAAGCATGGAGTCTGTGTGAGTGTTTATGACTGCAATTATATGTAAATATTTAGCTTTATATGTTAACAGTACATTAAACCAGTGGTTCCCAACGTTTTTCCTTAATGGACTCCTTTTCTATCACTGAGTAAACTGACACACCCTAGCATATTTTATAAATATTTCATATTATATTTAAAGCATAACAATAACATTGCAGGACAAGTGATAAACTGTACAAGTAACCCAAATAGTGAACGCAAAAACTGTAGTACGTTTGTGTAAAATGAGTAATTAGGATGAATTTTGAACTGATTTTTTCCTGTGAAAATTGCCTAAGAGATGAGTTTTCTTATATTTTTTGCAACTATTTGTAGAATTATCTGTATTATGCATTTATTGTTGTTGTTTTGGCCATTGGCTCCTTTTTTGACAAATTCAGCCCCTCCTTTAGCCCTTTGCCTGTTTAGCAAAGAGCGACGGCTCTGTAAATACAGCTTGTATTCAGGTCTTCCCCGTGCCCTTATCCTGTGAGATTTGTTTTTTAAGTTTGTGTCTTGAATGCTGAGCTATAGGTCTGCTTTTTATATTTTCAAAAGTGTTCTTACTCTCCCTAAAGTCAAGTAGACCTCATGACCCCAGTGAGGCTTTGGCGGCCCCTAGTGGGGATTGGGACCCCCACAATTGCAGCAATAATGTGTGGTCATGAGACTATTACGATTTTGTCATGAATATTCTCTTTGACTTCAACTACAGTAGTATAATTTGGATTTGTCATAAAGATGCCATTAAGTTATAATATACTGTCAAATCATTTTGTAATGGTAACATTAATAATTTCCTTGACCTCAACGTCAGTGGTACAATTTAGACTTTTTATAATGTCATTAAATGTTATTATACTGTCAAATACGTTTACATACCCTAATGAAAGCAATACACAAGTAAATTACTTGTCCCTCCTCAAACAGACGATTTCGACATATTCTCAGCAATTGAAGTGAAGGAAAATATTCATGATAGTTATAAAAGCATTTGACAGTGTAATAACACTTCATGATATTTTAAGGACTAGTCCAAATTGTTAATACTTTCTTTCAGTTTAATATTTCAGCCTGCTATGTCATGTTTATGACAGGTTACGTTGTCTTGGTTTAGGGTTTACAATGCACTTCTAGGATGCACTTAGGGTTTAGGATGCAGATAGTTGATTGTTGAGTGTTATTTCTAGGTCGTCAAATACGGACAACCTTGGGCTGGTAGTCAGACTGAACTGCTGACCCAAAGCGTCGGTATTTGACTACCTGGGAATGACACTCAACAATTAACTGTCTTCCTCAAGAATTCCATACTGAACCTTTAATGTCAAGTTGTCATAACAAAGACTTATCAAACAATGTAAACTTTGCATTGAAAATGAAATAAATGACTGTATGACACTAAATGACAACAGTCATAAACATTCATAAAGACTCCCTCATGTAAATGACAGGTGTCATGTCAGTCTCAGGCACACTCCTCCAAAACAAATTTGCTTTTCGGAAATCTAAATCTCAAAATAATTCTTTATGTTAGTAGAGTGCTTTAAAAAAAAAAAAAAAAAATAGCGCATTATTCCTTCTCCCAAGATATTAGATTTGATGAAATTATGTCACAAAGAATTGGACTAAGTTAATGGTGGATAACTGTTAAGAAAAAACCCCTCTATGATTCTTTGTGCCCTTTCCTTCTAACCTTTCTCTGAAATATGCCAACATGTTCCTCCTCTCTTGCATTCTCACTCTCATACAGACACAAGGAATCAAGGAAAATCCTCTCAGCTTAAACCAAAATTAATCTGGTGATAGACATTTTCCCCCCCAATACTGCTCTTTGCTAAAACGTGTGGTTGTGAGATGCATGTACTGTACACTCCCTCTTGCAGCAAAATACAGGCACGTTATATTACATTGCATCTGTCTTGTCAAACTCATTGAACACATGCTGAAGTGGTCCAGTGCATATCAAATACAATGCCCCATTCATTTGGTTTCCATCAGAGTACTGACAATAGTAAGGATGAGAGCATTTTAAGAGTCTGTTGCTGTTGTGTACAATTTCTGTTAGTCATTTCAAATGTTTGCTTCCCACTCTACAAAAACAGTCTGTGTAACACTAAATACAGTGAACTGTTCTGAGGAATGATTGTGTACAGTGGACTGCAAAATGCAAATTAACTCGGACCTGTCAAGCAATAATGTGTTTTCCCCTGTACTGTAAAGCAATACACAGCCAGCATCTTCTGCTACGAATAAGTGATAACACAGGAGAATTGACGTGAGTGACGGGGTGAACAAGTATTTCTGTGATGACATCTAGTGGCAGTACAGCAGTCTTGCCATGAGATATCCACACACTAAGAAATAAAATCTTTTTCGTTTAACATCGATAAGTGACGGTGATCCAGTATTAAACATTCTGTATTGAGTGCACTGTGTGTTTGTCTAATTCAGTCTCTTCAGTTAAAAAGTGTAAATGACGTCTAAACACAATTCGTCTTGGTACTGACACGGATGATCTATCTTATCTAACTTTCTGATTGTGCTATTCAATTGTGGTCATTCAAATAATCATAGCTTTTAAAGGTTCACCAAAAAAAAAAAAAAAAATGCTAATCAAGAATGTGAGAATATCCATTGCATGACTCAAGCCCCGAAACTAATTATTGACTTACACACCTAAAAGAAGAATCCAGAGAGAACCAATTCAGAAATAATCACTGGTTGAAAAGCATAAATATTTTTACAGTGTCAGCATACACAAGCACCTCTTTCAAATAAAGGGGTATCAAGGTCTACGAACAATGTCCACAAGAACAGTTGATTTTTAAGTCATGCGACTGCAGTGACACAAGAAAATACTTCATAAAAAAAGTTTATCTTTAAAGCCATTGACAGCACTATGAAGGATGTCTGTTTGCACCCCGACACTTTGTGATACTGCAAAGCAAAACACATTCAGTTCTAATCCCCGATAAAAGCAGATTTCATATAGTGACTAATTGAGTGAGCTGTCACGCTATTGGTGAGATTAAAGGACATTTCTCCTAAAGTAATTCCTTATAAACAGCATTTGTTGTCCAAACTGTTTTTGTTTCAGCGACCTCTTAGCCAACGGTTCCTGTAGAAATGTGGTTGTGCTTGACAGACAAAACTAAAATTTCAGGTTTTTTTATTCTAAAATACTCTTGTTAACACCTCTTTGAGGTTTGATTTGCACTTCATCTAAACTACAAGAA